GAGAGGGGGGCCGGGCATCACGGTTCTCAGAAGAGAGGTGGGGACGCTTGCGGTTAACAGGCGGAAACGTTGGAATAGGAAGTTTTTTGGGAAGTCTGTCGCGCGACCAATACTCCACACCGTCATCGTCGTCTCCGCCCGGGGCACCCTCGGGAAACACATCTGCGGCGGTGCCAGCCTCGGTGCCAGTGTCGGTGCCGGCCTCGGTGTCAGCTTGCTCGTCGTCAGCGCCCACAGCAGATTCATCCCACGCGTAATCTTGCAGCCGGCCCCATCGTGGCCCCGAGGCCGGAGCTTCAACGTACTCGTCAGGGGCCTTGTTGATTTCTGGTTCCGACAGGTACCGTAATCCCCCGGATAGAAGACCCCCCCAAAATACAACACCCCGGGGTATCTAATACGGGGGGGGTACTTTATTAAACCTCGATTTCGCTATACCCCCCCTTTCCCCTATAAGGGGGTTTTCCATGTACTTTTCACTTCTTTCGTTTGAAACCGAGGCATTCTATAGAGCGAATTCGGCTTTCGGGGGGTGAATTCCCGTGTCAGGGGGTTGATTTGCTGCGCCAGGGAGCCAGTTTGCTGCGTCAGGTGTCAGATTTTGCATGTCAGGGTGCGAAATTGCCGCGTCAGAGGGGCGAATTTTACTGTGACGGGCGAATTCGTTTTGTCTGGTCGGGCGATCACCAAAAGCATATCCACAACTTAGGTATTAAATTTGGTATTGAAAACACTAAACAAAAGGATTACCATATGAAGAGACCCGGGTGTTATATTTTTTTTTGCTTTGTTAAGACCCCCCCCCCCCCCCATTTTTTCTAGGGATTTAGCATAAGACCCTAGGGTCTTATATCCGGGGGAATATTGTACTCGTCGAACGCCGACGGGAGAAGGAGCGTGAGCACGGGAGGACCCGGAAGGGCCTCCATACACGGGCGGATTCGGAGGAGCCGGAGGAGCTGGTGGCGCAGGAGGAGATGGTGGCGCAGGTGGCACGGGAGGTTGTGGTGGCTCAGGGGGCTCTGGTGGGACATGGCTATACCAGCCGTCCTCGGTAACTCGCCAGGCGGGCCTATGTTTTTTCTTGAAAAGGAAGTGCGTGCCGGTAAATTCCGCCATGGCTTTCGCAGCCTGGCGGGCGTGGCATGAGAAACTGAATGAGAATGGGCAAGAAAGGGTGAACAAATGAACTTCTGACGGGACCCCTCCAAAGTAGCGGCTCGGGGTCCTCGTCAAGAAGAGCCGGGTACCCCCCTGCATGAACCCGCAGAAACACTTTCATCCTCCCAGCGAAACACTTTCATTGCTTACACTCCTTTGACAATCCTAACGATTTTCCTTTTCTGATAGCAACAAGACAAGGTGGAAACACTACCCCTCTAGGGCTTCTGGTCCCCAACCCCAACCCCAGCAGCGGCTTCAGCAGCAGCGGCCATGGCAGCAGCGGGCTTGGTGTTGAAGTAGTAGGAGGCGTGGTGCGCGTGGCCAAACTGTGCCAGCATCTGTAGCTCCTCCTCCGATGGGATGTGCACATCGCGGTACTCCTCTGGTGGGGATCGGAGGAAACATAGGGCAGGGAGAGTCAGATACGGACACGAGGGAAAAGGAGGTGGTGGTGGCGGGGATGGGAGGAGGAGAAGAGAGCATCTGCAGCTCCTCCTCGAGGGGACGTGCACGTCCCGGTATTCCCTGTGCGGGGCGCCAGCGACAATCAGAGAGGGGCGCAAGAGAACAAGGTGATGGGAGAGGGTGGGGAGGTGGAGCATCTGCAGCCGACGGGATGTGCACGACCCGGTGCTCCCCTGTGCGAGGGGGACAGCAGCGGCACAGGGCGGGGAGAATGGAGGGGGGCACGAGGGAGAAGGGGGTGGCGGTGGCGGGATGGGAGGGGGTGAGGGGAGGGCGGAGGATCTGCTGCGCCTCCTCCTACGGGATGTGCATGTCCCTGTGCTCCTCAGTTGGGCATTGCAGCAACACACGGCCATGGAGAATCAGCGGGGGGCGTGGGGTGGAAGGGGTCGGTGGTGGTGGTGGGGGTGGTGGGGGGGAAGAGTAGGGGGGGCAGCATCTGCAGCTCCTCCGGCGGGATGTGCACGTCGCGGGATATGGAGCTCCTCTGACGAGATGCGCATGCCACGATACCCCTCTGAACCCACGCCTATTAAATCCAAACCAGCATCCATAACATCCATTGCAGCTCACCTGATGGAAAGATGCACACCAGACGATGGTGATTGTGGGGGAGAAAAATCAAGGGGAAGGAGGGAGATGAGAAAGGATGTGGATATGCTATTATACGTGGCACACATATTCGACCACAAACACACACACACACACACACACACACACAACCCCAGTCACAACCACCAACACCAAGTCATACCCACTCATACCTGCTCTCAGCCACTCGCTCACGCTCACCTGGTATTTGCCTGGGAGCGCGGATGCGGATGGGGTCGAATTGATGCGAGGCCAAGTCGGGGCGGTACGACTTCACCCAGTCTGCAGGGCCGCACGGCCATGGTAGGCGTGGGTTGGGGGGGCATGGTGTGGTTCAAGTGGAGCAAGGGGGATTGGGAGAAGGAAGTATGGGTAAGGTGGAGCAATGATGGCGGCATGGAGCAGTGATGGCGGCATGGAGCAATGATGGCGGCATGGAGCAGTGATGGCGGCATGGAGCAATGATGGCGGCATGGAGCAATGATGGCGGCATGGAGCAATGATGGCGGCATGGAGCAATGATGGCGGCATGGAGCAATGATGGCGGCATGGAACAATGATGGCGGCATGGAGCAATGATGGCGGCATGGAGCAATGATGGCGGCATGGAGCAATGATGGCGGCATGGAGCAATGATGGCGGCATGGAGCAATGATGGCGGCATGGAGCAATGATGGCGGCATGGAGTAATGATGGCGGCATGGAGCAATGATGGCGGCATGGAACAATGATGGCGGCATGGAGCAATGATGGCGGCATGGAGCAATGATGGCGGCATGGAGCAATGATGGCGGCATGGAGCAATGATGGCGGCATGGAGCAATGATGGCGGCATGGAGCAATGATGGCGGCATGGAGTAATGATGGCGGCATGGAGCAATGATGGCGGCATGGAGCAATGATGGCGGCATGGAGCAATGATGGCGGCATGGAACAATGATGGCGGCATGGAGCAATGATGGCGGCATGGAGCAATGATGGCGGCATGGAGCAATGATGGCGGCATGGAGCAATGATGGCGGCATGGAGCAATGATGGCGGAATGGAGCAATGATGGCGGCATGGAGTAATGATGGCGGCATGGAGCAATGATGGCAGCATGGAGCAATGATGGCAGCATGGAGCAATGATGGCAGCATGGAGCAATGATGGCAGCATGGAGCAATGATGGCAGCATGGATCAGAATGCCATGAAGGGTGCAACGAGGAGGAACAAAGGGCGGATGAAGGTTGTGACTTCTGAGACATCTTTAAAAATGGGCGCACGGGGCACGGATGGTGCGGAGACAAATTGACAGAGTGACATGAACCAGGCAGAGGAGGAGGAGGAGGGGCGAATTGTGGAGCAAGGAGGGCGGAGAGCAGGGCGGAGCAAGGAGCGCGGAGAGCAGGGCGGAGCAAGGAGGGCGGAGAGCAGTGGGGGGTAAGAAGGCGGAGAGCAGGGGGGAGCAAAGTGGGCGGAGAGCAGGGGGTAGCAATGAGAGCGGAGAGCAGGGGGGAGCAATGAGAGCGGAGAGCAGGGGGGAGCAATGAGAGCGGAGAGAAAGGAGGGCAAATGGTATAGGAGAGCAGGGAGTGCGGAGAGCAAGGAGGGCAAAGAGCAGGTCAATGCGGGAGCACTGAGGGAAGGAGAAGTCTACAGCAAGCAACGGAGGTGAATGTGGGCCGCCTAAATTTTCGCTTGAATTTCACATTGAGCTTTCGAATCCTATTGTGACGCGCGCATCCGTTAGGCGCCTGAACCTCGCATTTCACTCATGCACGCAAGCGTCTCGGCCTGGAGGGTAATCGACACGCGCCGGGAACTTCACATAGAGCTTCGCGCTCTTCTTTCGTCTATTTCCAAAACATGTGAAAGAAGCGAGATCGCGGCCGTCGGGACGAGGATGTCACACGGGACGGAGGAAGCGACTGGGCACGCCGGGTTAACAGGAAAGGGTGAAGGGTCAAAAGGAGGAACAAGGACCCACCGTTGAAATTTGGCCGGCCGCCGTGACGAGGGAGAGAATTCACTCCGTCGGGGAGAAGCAGAAAAACGCAGAAGAGCGAGTTTAAGACCATAGTAAGGAGGAGGACAAATGTAGTAACTCGAACATTCCGAGAGTCTCGTAATAGCCTCATGGCGACCGTGTGAGATCAGAACGGGGAAGTGCGTCAGTGGAGACCTTTACGACCTTTCCGTTTCCGCGAGGAGAGCGTGAGCTAAAGCGCAGAAGTGGCTGAATTGTTACTGATTGGACGAGAAGCACCTGGCGAATAGCTGTGACTGCACAACAACAAAAGGGACACTTGGCCCCTCAAGCATACAACCAACTCACTAGAAGCCCCTGAAGATTGCGCTTCGCGAGAAATGAAATGTTCTAGTGGTTTAGCATTGACTTTCGACTGCGTTGGTTACCGACCAGCCTGGGTTCCAGGTGTCCCAAGAATGCCCTAGCCCTAGTCCCCGATAACATCTCTTTTGCGTCACCGTGGTCAAGTCAAAAGACAATTTGGTGTACAATCAAAACGGTACCTAACAATAGATGCACTCTGAAACATCCCGGATCTGAAACATGTTACAAATAGGAGAGCAACACTTCATGGCATACAGCAATCCCGCCTTTGATAACCGAAGCCATTTGTGACACTTGGTAAATGCACAGTGAGACTCTACTCACGTCCTAATGCCACTCTTTAGCTTTCAGTCTTGTCGTCGCTGTATGCAAGATTCAGCTGCTGTCCCGCAAATACAGGCAAGCATCTGTAATAGTGCTCCAGAATGATGAGTCATGCAGGAGTCAGTGTGCGCGTTGCTCAATGTAGGACCCCGACAGCCCCGATGTGCCCAGCAGACTAATCTGTAACATGCGGGAAAGTTTGGAGGGTGGAGGAATGGGAGGGGAGGGGAGGGGAGGGGAGGGGAGGGGAGGGGAGGGGAGGGGAGGGGAGGGGAGGGGAGGGGAGGGGAGTGGAGGGGAGGGGAGGGGAGGGGAGGGGAGGGGAGGGGAGGGGAGGGGAGGGGAGGGGAGGGCAGGGGAGGGCAGGGCAGGGCAGGGGAGGGGAGGGGAGTGGAGTGGAGGGGAGGGGAGGGGAGGGGAGGGGAGGGGAGGGGAGGGGAGGGGAGGGGAGGGGAGGGGAGGGGAGGGGAGGGGAGGGGAGGGCAGGGCAGGGGAGGGGAGGGGAGTGGAGGGGAGGGGAGGGGAGGGGAGGGGAGGGGAGGGGAGGGAAGGGGAGAGGAGGATAGGAGAGGGGAGGGGAGGGAAGAGGAGGACAAGGGAGGGGATGGAAGGGCAGACAAAGGGGAGAGAGAGGTGCAAGAGAGTAGTGAGGCCAAGAAGAAACAAAAGGTTCCGACGTGCTGAGCAGGCTCAGTGGCAACATGTGGAGATGGAGGAGGAGAGGGAGGTGGGGGGGGGGGAAGGTGAAGATGACCCACCATACTTCTCCCACTCGCCCAGCACCCTGAGTTCCCTGATCCCTACCTCCCAGTGAAGGCCACCGCTCCCACCTGGTTGCACTCACCCCTCAAACGGCCCCATCCCAGCCCCACGCTCACCTGCTTCCACTCATCTCCCACCTGCCCCCATCTGCTCACCCACCCCCACCCCCTCACCCCCCCCCCCACGAACCTGGTTCCACTCGTCTTCGAGGCCGCTGCAGCGCTGCTTGACGGTGATGAGCACGGCGCCCAGCTCCTCCTTCACCTTGCGCTGCAGCCACCCCTCGTCCGCCCCAAACGCCTCCAAGTACGCCGAGTACCGCCTCAGCGCCGAGGACAGCGCCGCCTTGATGTCCTCGGGGATCTTCCCCACTGCCTGCATGCGGTCAGGGGGTCCGCAGGGTGGGACGGGGAGGGGGAGCGGAGGGGGGAAAAGGTGTGGGGGGTGGGGTGGGGGGTGGGTCGGGGGCAGAAGAAATGGTGTCTTAGAGACCTCCCTCCTCCTTCCTTGTAAGAGAGTCCCGATACGCCACGAGAGCAGAGAGCTCAGTGTCCGTTGATCAGAAGAAGCGTGGCAAGGCCCACCTTGGAGAAAGGCCCCCCACCATGCACGGGCCACCATTGTGTGCTCTCACACACCCCCATGCTCTCACACACCCCCATGCTCTCACACACCCCCATGCTCTCACACACCCACATGCTCTCACACACCCCCATGCTCTCACACACCCCCATGCTCTCACACCCCCATGCTCTCACACACCCCCATGCTCTCACACACCCCCATGCTCTCACACCCCCATGCTCTCACACACCCCCATGCTCTCACACACCCCCATGCTCTCACACACCCCCATGCTCTCACACACCCCCATGCTCTCACACACCCCCATGCTCTCACACACCCCCATGCTCTCACACACCCCCATGCTCTCACACCCCCATGCTCTCACACACCCCCATGCTCTCACACACCCCCATGCTCTCACACACCCCCATGCTCTCACACACCCCCATGCTCTCACACACCCCCATGCTCTCACACACCCCCATGCTCTCACACCCCCATGCTCTCACACACCCCCATGCTCTCACACACCCCCATGCTCTCACACCCCCATGCTCTCACACACCCCCATGCTCTCACACACCCTCATGCTCTCACACACCCCCATGCTCTCACACACCCCCATGCTCTCACACACTCCCATGCTCTCACACACCCCCATGCTCTCACACACCCCCATGCTCTCACACACCCCCATACACACCCCCATGCTCTCACACACCCCCATGCTCTCACACACCCCCATGCTCTCACACACCCCCATGCTCTCACACACTCCCATGCTCTCTCACACACACACCCCCATGCTCTGTATCAGGCAGGGAAGGTGCGTGGGAGGGGAAAGGGGGGGGAAGAGATACGCCACCATCACCGGACACTGTGTACACATATCACTACCATCTCCCATTTGAGCACACCCAGCACATCCTCATTACAAGCGGACTCACCTCGCCACCGAACTTGCCCCCACTGAGTTCATCGAGCTCCAGGCGCAGCAGCTCCAGCTTCTCCCCAAACACCTCCACCGCCTCCGCTGCCGCCTTGAGCGCTGACAACGCCTCCTTCGCTACTGCGTCACTGATGGCACACAGAGTGGGGTGGGTGGGCGAGAAATGGAAATCGAAAATCGCACATAACGCAAAAACCAATCTCCTTAAACGAGACCTGAATTACTGGAAAGAAGCAGCAGCAGGGTCACTGCTGCCATGTGAGATAGCGGGAGGAGAGGGAGGGAAGTAAGCTGAGATTGGTAACACCAAACACAGCTTCTTTAAACGCGTGCACCTTGTGGGCTGCTGCTGTTAATCAGCAATGACAACGCTTCTTGCACCATGTCCTGTATCGCTATCACAGCTGGATCACTGATGGGATGAAGACATGACAGAGCGAAACTTGCTTGATTTGAGGTGCCTCTAAGATGATCGGTCGCCACTATTTGTCCATGATGGCATGGGGGAGAGGAAGGACACACGGTGCCGTGGAAGGGTGGGGAGGAATGGAGAGGTTTGGGGGACACAACTTTCTGCATGCATGTTGGATAGAATGTTGGATGTTGCATGCGGATGTTAGGCAAGGTTCAAAATTACGGTTTTCGTAAAATACGGTCCGTTTTATACGGTCGTTTCTTACGGTGATTTTTCAAAAAAACGGTCGTTTTTTTGTTAGAGAACTCTGTTCACCAAGAAAAAAAAGAGAAAAACAAGGCCAAAAACATTTTCAATCATGCCAACAAGCGCATACATGCAAGAAGGGGTCCGTCCCCTTCATGCTGCTGCATTTCGGGTTCAATTTGGTCCCACTAAGTGGCCGTTTTGTTAGTTAAACAGGAAACACCTCCTGGAACCGTTTTAAACCGTTTTTTACGACCGTATTTTACGATACCGTTTTTTACGGTAAATTTTCAAAAAAACGGTCGTTTTTTTTAACCTTGATGTTAGGTGTTTGAAGTTGGATGTCGTGCATGTTGCATGCTGCATGCTGCATGTTGCATGCTGCATGGTGCAAATTGCATGCTGCATGTTGCATGCTGCATATTGCATGCTGCACGTTGAATGCTGCATGTTGCATGCTGCATGGTGCAAATTGCATGTTGCATGTTGCATGCTGCATATTGCATGCTGCATGTTGAATGCTGCATGTTGCATGCTGCATGTTGAATGCTGCATGTTGCATACTGTTGCATGCTGCATTTTGCATGTTGCATGCTGCATGCTGCAAGGTGCATGTTGCATGTTGCATGTTGTATGCTGCATGCTGCATGCTGCATGCTGCATGCTGCATGCTGCATGCTGCATGCTGCATGGTGCATGCTGCATGCTGCATGGTGCATGCTGCATGTTGCATGCTGCATGCTGCATGTTGCATGCTGCATGTTGCATGTTGCATGTTGCATGTTGCATACTGCTTGCTGCATGGTGCATGTTGAATATTGCATGCTGTTGCATATTGCATGTTGCATGCTGCATGCTGCATGCTGCATGTCGCATGCTTCCTAGATGTTATATGTCGGATCTTGGACGCTCAAAACACCTTCTTTACAGTGACCTTCTAGCGGGAGGCTACGAGGCTGCGAGGATTAAGACAAGCTCAAAATCACGTCAGCCAACCCAGGTGAGTCAAACGGAGCCAAACTCACTGCCAGAATGCTGTCAGTGCTGTGAGTGCTGTCGCCTTACTCGGTGCTTTTAAACGTCTTGTCGATTTTGGCGATCAAAGAGGAGTCGCACGGCACCCACCCCGTCGCCAGAGCTTCCTTGAGCGTGCTGAGCGCACTCGGATCGTTGACACGTGGCAGCTTCACGAGATCCTCCGTGGCCGTGATGGCGAAGCCTCGCCGCTGGAAGGATGCCGCTGGTGGGAAAGATCAGAGGAAGGTAGGGACGGGAAGGGAAGAGAGGGGAGGAGAGGAGGAAGGGAGACGAAGACGGGAGAGTATGACAAGGGAGAGAAGGGAGCGGAGGGGAGGAGAGGCGAGGAAAGCGGAGAGGAGGTAAAGACTATGCTTTTTCTTGAAATAAATAGAAACATAGTCCGGCCGAGAAACCACGCTAGCGCTTTCGTTACAAGTGTGCCACTAGCGATACCTGACACATGCGATCCGAATGGAACACGCGCGGAAACGGATGCGGACGGCACGGCGGGAGAGGCGGAAGCGGGGGGCGACGATGTGGCGTATTGCGCAGAAGGTTGCGCGTGCAGCAGCGCGGATGCTGCTTGGCGGAAGGCGGGAACGCGCGCGGAGGAGGCGCGGAGGATGTCGGCGGAGCGGCGAAGGATTTGTCTGGACGCCATGGTGGTGTGGTTGCGGGTGTGAGAGGGGATGGTTGCGTGAAGTCGGTTTGCTGCGACACCCAAGGCACGTGCCGGTTGGGAAAGCTGGTATCGTAGGTCGCGACTCGCGGCGTATGTTTCGCAAAGGTGCGTCGAGCGAGGTGAAATAAGACAGGCGGGAAACGAAATGGAAATGTAGGATCACAAGTATGTGACCGGCGGGGGCGTGATATTCCTCGTTGCACGTGGAGCGGCGGAGGAAGGCGAAATGCGCGGAGGCGAAATGAGGGGGAGCGGAAAGTCACACGCGCGGAGCTTTTGTTGTGCGGTCTGTGCTGGAATATGAGGTGACACCGACAAATGGAATGGAGTATGGAAGGGGAAGGGGAAGGGCGTGGTAGGGATGCTGTAAAAAGTATCTCGCTCTAAAAAATACACTTTTCTTTATCTCTCATCTATTCTGCATATCATACATCTCCGTTTCCTGAATTACCATATACACCAAATATTACTTTGGCGGGTCAGGAAGAACTACGGTCTTTAAAATCTCCAGGGTTCCCGAAGCGGCTAACCAGGAATTTGAAGCAATGCACGTCTGAAATTCATTCCCTTGCTCTACATGTCATTGACAAGTGTAGAAGTTTCTTGGAGGCTGGGTTGTTGCGCTTTCGGATGTTATCCAATGCTTTGTCCCACCTCTTCAGAATAATCACCAGCCGCAGTTAACATCACAGCACTTACAATACGCATTCTCTGTATCAGCTTTACTCAACTCCTAAACCACCCAGACATGCATTGCCTCGCCTCTACCTCACAACCAACATAATTTAGTACATCATTCCCTAACAGCCTCTTCATAAACTAATTCCCCAAACTTTCCTTCAGATTTGGAAGCGGGTTTCAGATAGGCATTTAAAGCAGCAGCAGCAGGGAGGCCACGGCAATACCAGCAACAGATGCTGCTGAGGACCCGCCACACTGAGAGGTGGACGATTTAGGCGCCGGAGGCGATGCTGGAGAGGCAGCCGGAGGGGACGGGGAGATAGTCGGGGGGGAGGCAGACGGGGGGGAGGCAGTCGGGGGGGAGGCAGTCGGGAGGAGGCAGTTGGGGGGGAGGCAGTCAGGCGGGAGGCAGTCGGGCGGGAGGCGGTCGGGGGGGAGGCAGTCGGGGGGGATGCAGTCGGGCGGGAGGCAGTCGGGGGGGGGGGGGGGGAATGGGGAGGCTGCGGTGCTACCCGGAGATGGGGGAAGGGGCACTGCAGGAGGCCATGGGATGGACATGGGACGGAAAGGGATGGATATGTGAGGGGAAGGGACGGATAGGCCAAATGGTGGTCTTCAAAGAGAGAAGGTGATGAGAAAACATCCCCCGTGCTACATAGCATGGAGAAGGGATAACTGAGCAAATCGATTCGGCTCATGAGGTGCAGGCTTGCCATAGGTGGTATAGAAGGAGGAGCACTGGCGGCAAAAGGCGCTCTTAGGTTGCTGGAGCGCCACACATGGGGTGTAGTCACGCGGGCAGGTCAGGCCAGTTCCATTCACATTCTTGTATGTCCACATGCCAAGTAGTAGAACATGCATGTGAAGGATTCATTGCTTGGAGCTCGCTATTTGATTCATCCCTCTCATAAGGCTAGAGCCACACGCTTCATAGCAGGCAGCTCCAGCAATACTCTCACGCCGGACTCGCTGAAATCACCAATATTTCAATCGAACGGGCAGACCACACTGGTGTGTCGGCACAGCACATCCACATCCATACGAGCAACGGTCTCTTTGGAGTTGAGACGCAAGTGGTTGGAAAACGGCCCGTAGTGACAAGACTAGAGCGGTGACAGGAAGGCGAGTCGGGAGAGGTTGCCCATGGAGGGCGGGATGGTGTCAGAATCCCAACCACTAGACCATTGCAATAAAAGGGCTTGTTTGTGTAGCTGGTAAGTGCGCCCATAACCCCCCAGGCCAACGTGCCTGTAACCCTTCCCTAGGACCAATCGGGGATCACCAGTAGACCTCTGACACCCCCCCGCACGAGGATGTCCGAAGTGCACACATTGGGATTCGAACCCGAGACCTTCGCTCTGATACCATCTCAGAATCCCAGCCACTAACCACTAGGATAAAAGGGTTTTTTTTTTTTGTAGCAGATAAGTGCGCCCTAACCCCCCCAGGCCAACGTGCCTGTACTCCTTCCTTAGGATCAATCAAGGATCACCAGTGGACCTCTGACAACCCCCCGCACTGGGATGCCCGAAGTGCACACACCGGGATTCGAACCCGAGACCTTCGCTCTGATAACATGTCAGAATCTCAACCACTAGACCATTGGGATAAAGGGCTTGTTTACGTAGCGGGTGAGTGCGCCCATAACCCTCCAGGCCGCCGTGCCTGTAACCCTTCCCTAGGATCGATCGGGGATCATCAGTGGACCTCTGACAACCCCCCGCACTGGGATGCCTGAAGTGCACACACCGGGATTCAAACCCGAGACCGCTCTGATACCATGTCAGAATCCCAACCACTAGACCATTGGGATAAAAGGGCTTGTTTGTGTAGCGAGTAAGTGCGCCCATAACCCCCCAGGCCAACGTGCATGTAACCCTTCCCTGGGATCAATCGGGGATCACTAGTGGACCTCTGACAGATGGTGCCTGTGAGGCTGTTGTTGCTTACGTCTCTGATGGCACGGCATAGCACAGCAAGCATTTGGCAGAGCAACACATGGCAAGCATTTGGCAGGGTAGCACATGGCAAGCATTTGGCAGGACAGCACATGGCAAGCATTTGGAAGGGCAGCACATGGCAAGCATTTGGCAGGGCAGCACATGGCAAGCAGTTGGCATGGTTCCCAAAGCTATAGAAGTAAATGTACCACTGGAGAAACAATGGAAAGCGTTTAGACTCATTGAAAAAGCCAAGGCAAAATTCCTACTTGAAATGCCTTTTTCTTTGAGCAGTTGGCAACAGCATGGCTAAGCTAGCAAGGCGCGCGAATGATTCCGGGATGGAGCCCGACAATGAGTTTGATGGCATATTCTTGCATTCACATCAAAAGTATAGATTACAGGTATAAAGACAGGAGGTGGTGTGGTGTCGTGCTGTCCGTAGCAGGCTGTGGCATGGCTCGTGTGGTGCTTCGCAGGGATCACATTGCCTTGGAACCTCTCAGGTGCTCGGCCTGACCAGGTGAGGTCGAACCTCAACCGACTTCCACCTGAAACTTTGACGCATTCCTGTTCTCTTACACTTGTTTGTGAATCTTCTCTGTAACAGTTTATGCATGCATACTTTTAGTCATAGGACGGAAGGGGGGGGGGGAGGATGGGCCGAATCAGCCAAGTAAGTGGGAATTCATGAGCTTGTATGCCAACACACGAACGACCGGCGACGCAGACAAGACCATTCGTCGCACGTTTGGAGTTTGGAGTTTCTAAGGGCCAAACCGAGTCGATCCAATTGAACCAGTCCAAGCAGAACCACTACTGATTCGCGTCGAGCCAGGAGGTAGTGTACTACCCGCACAGCATTTGCACAACCCACACTGCTCATGCGTCACGGAGTTTCAGCTTGCGAGTGTCAGAACATTATAGCTTATGCTGTTGTGTAGGCTATAGTGGGGTATCCCATAGGGGGTACAACCAATTAGGGTTTCATATTTGTACTCACTTCATTTCATAGTTCATTCATCCTTGTTCAAATTTTCTCATGGTATAGAGCAGGTTCCCCCTTGGGAACTGTGCTTAGGGCCCACCACATCGATTTTTTTTTTTCCTGCCCGAAGCGCGCTCAGCCCGAGTCGCGCTCCGGGCCCTCACTTCGTCGAGCCGCCCTAGCGGCCCTGCACTGCGGCCCCGCCACCCGTCTCCGCGGCCCCGCCGCCCTACCTCGCGGCCTCGCCGCCCCATTGCGCGGCCCCGCCGCCCTACCTCGCGGCCCCGCCGCCCCATCGCGCGGCCCCGCCGCCCTATCTAGCGGCCCCGCCGCCCTACCTAGCGGCCCCGCCGCCCCATCGCGCGGCCCCGCCGCCCCATCGCGCGGCCCCGCCGCCCCATCGCGCGGCCCCGCCGCCCTTCCTCGCGGCCCCGCCACCCCATCGCGCGGCCCCGCCGCCCCATCGCGCGGCCCCGCCGCCCTTCCTCGCGGCCCCGCCACCCCATCGCGCGGCCCCGCCGCCCCATCGCGCGGCCCCGCCGCCCTACCTAGCGGCCCCGCCGCCCTTCCTCGCGGCCCCGCCACCTTACCTGCGGCCCCGCCCTTACCTGCGGCCCCACCGCCCTCTGCTGCGGCCCCGCCACCTTACCTGCGGCCCCGCCACCTTACCTGCGGCCCCGCCACCTTACCTGCGGCCCCGCCACCCTATCTGCGGCCCCGCCACCCTACCCGCGGCCACGCCGCCCTTACCAGCGGCCCCGCCGCCCTTACCTGCGGCCCCGTGCCCTGCAGCAGCACAGCCGAGCCGCCCAGCAGCCGAGCCGCCGAGCCGCCCAGCAGCCGAGCTGCCCAGCAGCCGAGCCGCCCAGCAGCCGAGCCGCCCAGCGGCCGCGCCGCCCAGCAGCCGAGCCGCCCAGCAGCCGAGCCGCCCAGCAGCGGGGCCGCCGAGCCGTCGGGCCGCCCAGCAGCTGAGCCGCCGAGCCGCCGCGCCGCCCTCCTTCAGGGCCGCCCGACCTGCCCAGTCTGGTGAGCACAGCGCCTTTTCACTGCACTGTCCTCACCCCACTGTTTGCGCTACTAGTCGTCTAGGGTCATGGCTACCCCTAGTGTTCTCGCCTTTGACGCTGAGGGTAGGGCCATTGACTTTGAGGTCTGGGTAGATGACCTGCAGCTGTTCTTACAGTGCGATAGGGCAGACGGCCTCTCTCTCTTTGACCTCACCTCTGGCACCTCCACTGCCCCTGCTGCTGATGCTGACGCCACTGTTCGCTCCCAGTGGGCCACGCGCGACGCTGCTGCACGTCTTGCTGTGCGTCGCCACCTCCCTACCTCCGAGCGTGCGCACTTTAGTCAGTACAAGAGTGCTCAGACCTTGTACGACGCTGTAGTTGCGCGTTACTCCTCCCCTGCCACTGCTGCACTGAGCCGTCTCATGCTACCGTACCTCTTTCCTGATCTTACTGCCTTTCCCACAGTCACTGACCTCATTACGCACCTCCGCACTAGTGACACTCGCTACCGCGCTGCACTCCCTCCTGACTTCTGCGCCAGGAACCCCCCCCCCATGTACATCACTCTTTACTACATAGTCACTCGCCTTCCTGACTCCCTTCGCGTAGTCAGGGACCACTTTCTCTCTGTCTGTCCCACCACTCTCACTGTTGACCTCCTCGAGAAGTCCCTCCTAGCGGCCGAGAAGAGCATAGTCGCTGTAGGGGCCTCTCGTGGTGACCCGCGCACCCCCATCTTTGAGGGGTGTTCCCCCTCCCCCCTTCTGCCCTCTGTTGCCTCTGCTGCTGCGGCCGAACTCCTTGTTCTTGAGTCGGTCGGTGCGGCGTCTGCCCCTAACGGGAGACGCCGCTCTGGCAAGGGCAAGGGGGGCAAGGGCGCTGGAGGAGCGAGCGGGGGCGGTGGAGGTGGAGGTGGCGGCAGTTGGGGGAGTGGGGGTGGCGGTGGGAGTGGAGGTGGGGGTGGAGGGGTCGGTGGCGGCAGTGGAGGTGGAGGTGGCGGCGGCGGTGGCGGTGGGAGCGGAGGTGGTGGAGGTGGCGGAGGTGGAGGCGGCGGCGGAGGCGGAGGCGGCGGCAGTAGCGGAGGCGGCGGAGGCGTCGGAGGCGGCGGGGGTGGCGGTGGTGCTGGTCGCGGGTCTTCGCAGAGGAGTGGCTCCGGTGGTGGCTCGCGCCAGCAGCAGCAGCGTGGTCGTGACACCCTGTCCCCTCAGCAGCTTCGTGAGTGGTACACTGCGCGTCAGCGGGGTGGGGGTTTTGGTCCGTGCTCCTACGTTTTGCGCACCGGCGACCGTGCGGGTGAGCAGTGTGGGGGTCCCCACCCCACCCAGCGCTGCTTTGGCCGCCTGACGGACGCGTGGCGTCACCAGTTCCCGGAGGCCTCCGAGATCCCTCGCTGGGGCGAGCTGTCTAGGGCGGGTGTTGCCATCTATGATCTTGACTTTGATGCTATTCTCTCTGCCATGTATGCTGTGTCTATTAGTGATGAGGGTGACTGTTACCGGTGTTTCCCGCCCGATCCGGGCATTGAGACTGCTGCTCTAGGTCCTGGTGAGGCTGCTGCCCTAGGTGCTTGCGACGCTGCTGCTCTAGGTGCTCGTGTGTCTGCGTCCTCAGGTACTGGTG